CATTATCTTAAATTGTTATTCTCATGTTTATGTGTTATTATTGATTGTGTCGGAGGCTTACAATCGAACAAACCATGCTACCACACACATACATACACACACTTTACAACTCACAACCTATTCATACAAGGACTTTATGATGGTAATCCTCTTAAATTTAATTTACACACCAATAAATAAATCTTTGCATAAAATTGTGTGTGTTTTAACAGTACAAAGCTCTCGTAAGCTCTCGGAGACCTTGTACAACATCACCACCAATAACAATGGAAATATATTGGCGTATGAAAAAATATAAACCCCTAAACATATTTGTTTTATTTTAATATTTTATTTATTTGGTATTGAATTGCAAATGGAAAGGAAACCTAGGAGTTGGTGTATAAATATTTCCTTCTTAATTTATTTACTGTTTATTTTTTTATTAGTTTCCAGTATCATGGGATATTGTGATTTGTATGACATACAAATCTTTTTGTTAATTATCTAGTTGGGATATAAGGGTGGATTGAAGAGATAATATATACAAAGACTTTACATACGACCTTTGTAAAACCACATAGCCCACGTAGGTTCTTCTCCTGGCTTCAATTTTCATTGCAAAACTTAGATCATTAAGCTCGACTCGAAAGAGTATAAATAACTCATCTAAAAATTACTTGCAAATGATCACTGCCCTTACAAAGCAAAATTCAAATAACAAAAAAAAAACTTTTTTAGTTATTTTTATTGTCGTATAAGGTATATCTTTGGGGTCTTCTGTACAAAAAAAAGAGAACCTAAACATTTTCGAATTCACCCTACTCTTTTAGATTTTTTTATTGCCGTATCAGATATATTTTTGAGATCTTCTGTACAAAAGTATATCATAGATAACCTAAAGATCTTCCAATTCACCCTAATATACCCATCTTGAGCTTTTGTTTATTTTATGTGTTTTTTTTTTTTCATTTAGCTGCCACACTTTCAATAAATTTGTATTGTATTTGCATTTGTAAACATTGTCAAAAGATGACAATTTGGGTGGTCCTTTTGCGTCTTTTGTCAGCAATATTTTCCGTGACACTGCCTCAGCCTGTGTGGTTGTTGGTGTTGTTATTGGTTTTACTGACTGTTGATTTCTTTTATATGTAAAATTAAATCCGAACGAACTGTTTTTTGACGGCTGTGATCACATCACACCGACAAAAGACGTAATAATATACGGTGCAATACTTGTTGAGGAACCAGAGGAGTACAGAGCAGAAACAACAGACCTTTACACACAGCTGCAAAAGCCATGACGAATCGGAATTGACATTGAACTGAAAATCATGGCATTTTTTTTCAACTGACGCTGAAAGTTTAACAATCTTCCAATGAAATAAACAAAACCTACACTATGGTTGCCACTGAACAATCTATGGGGATTTATGTGAACCTTAAATAGTTTCCTCCTTGAAACTTCTGCAGTATGCAGTTACATAAGTTAATATAAATAAATAATAAAATTTATTGATATTTGTAAAATTAGTTCTCCCTAGATCTGGCAACTTTGTTTTAAGGCCAACATGTTTTGTGCATACATGGATGGGTTTTGAGTCTATGATGCATGGCAAGGAGCCAATTGAATAATGCATTCATATGTGAAGCTAATGTGGACTGATGTTAACTGAGTGCTACGGACAATAGTTGGGTTTTTGTTGCATCGAACAGCAACTGGCAGGGATGACTCATTTATAGAAAAAACTGCAATCTTCAAACATGGTTAGACCTTAAACAGAAAAAGTAAATATATTTTTTTCAGGGGCGAGACGAGCAATATGTGTGGATTTGCAATGAATATTTTTAAGTCATCTGCGGAGCTGGAATTTAGATTTTTATAGAATTTGTATTCAAGGGCCAGTCTTTTTAGTAGAGCTATACGTTTTTAAAGGACATTTTTCCAAAGGACTAACCAAAAAAGATTTTTGAAGGACTAGCCGAGGCATATGCTAGGATTTTTAAGAATACTTTTTCAAGGACAACGGTTTTGATTTTTTTTTTGAAAATATTTTTTCGTGGAGTATTAGGGCTATAGGCGAAGATTTTTTGAGAAAATTTTGTTCTTGGAATATCAGGGCTATAGATGGAGATTTTTAAGACTATTTTTTTCATGGAATATCAAGGCCACAGGTGGGGATTTTTAAGACTAATTATTCATGGAATATCAGGGCTTTAGGCGGGGATTTTTTAATAATATTTTTTCATAGGGCTACTGGCGTGTTTTTTGATGGGAATTTTTTTATAAGGACCATCAAGGCTATAGGCGTGGCTTTTCTGGCGGGAATTTTTTTAAGAAGGTGGCTTTTTATACCCTTCACCGCACTGTGGTACAGGGTATTGGGTAAAAGATAACGATGTAGACCCATGGTTTTTTTTTTGAGAATATGCATAGAATCACTTTCTGAGTCGATTTATGCATGTCCGTCTGTCTGTCTGTCCGCCCGTCCGTACATGTATTTTTATAAGTAAAGTACAGAAGTAAAGATGGATGAAATTTGGTACAGGTCACTTATTTGGCCCAAGGACGAACGATATTGAAATTGGGGAAAATCGGTTCAGATTTACACTTATTTGGTCCAAGGACGAACGCTATTGAAATTGGGGAAAATCGGTTCAGATTTACATATAGATCCCATATATATTTTCGTCTGATTTTATGTAAATGGTGCACCATACTGTCAATATTTAACCGATTGAGACAAAATTTTGCACAGCGTCCTTAATAAGGTCCAGATTGATGTATGCGAAGTTTTGTTGGAATCAGTTCAGATTTAGATATAGCTCCCATATATAGTTTCGTCCGATTTTATGTAAATGGAGCACCATACTGCCAATATTTGTTGATTGAGGCAAAATTTTGCACAGAGTACTGAATTAGGTACAGATTGATGTATGCGAAGTTTTTTTGGAACCGGTTCAAATTTAGGTTTAGCTCCCATATATAGTTCGTTCGATTTTGGGCAAATGGTCCGATTGAGACAAAATTTTGCACAACGTACTGAGTTAGGTCTAGTTTGATGTTTTGTTGATATCGGTTTAGATTTGTCCGATTGGGTATGGAATTTAGTCTAGAATACGTTTTGTTAAGTTTGAAATCGGTTGAGATATAGGTGAGCAGGTGAGCTTAGGACAAAATGAAACCTAGAACCTATTGGATTTTTTGTCGAAATAAATCTTGGGTAGCTCATAACGTTGCAGCATGCCAAATGGTGGATGCCAAGGTTGCTCAAATATAGCTCTCATATACATTTTGCTCCATTTCATACAAATGAATGAAATTCAAATTTTCCGAAATTTCAGATAACGGTACTCTAAAAATTTAAATTTTCGGTATTTAGGGGGGTTTGAACTCATTTTTCAATCGAAGTCCCTATAATTCGGTACTTTATCATCATCCATCAACAGTTACCATTCAAACCCCCTTAGGTCGGTTACAAATCCCAAGAATTTTAGGGCTTGTACTGTTTGTAAAAGCTGACATTCCTACAAGCTCTGTACCTGCTGCTTCCCTCGGATCCAATCTTGTGTAAAAGTGCCTGCAGTTATCATGCGAGTCTACTGATTTATTTTTTATTTATTTATTTTTTGTTAAGCCTTAATAAGGAGAACAGGCTTTTTTGATGAACATTTTTTAAGGGCAATAGACGTAGCTTTTTAACGAATAATTTTCCAAGGACCAGTACAGCTCTAATAGTTTTTCTCTTCAAAAATATATTTCAGTTCATATTATTACATGTTTTTATACCCTACACAACTATGTTGTCAGGGTATTGTAGCTTTGGGCAGCCCCAAAAGTTTGTAACGCCGCGAAATATTGGTCCTAGACCCACCTTCAAGTATACCGATCGTATCTTATATATAGTCTCATATGTGTGTCCGTCTGTCCATTATAATTTGTAAACACGATACAGGCCACAGTTATGGACCAATGTTCACGGAATTTTGCATGTAAGATGGGTTAGGCCCAATGAAGACCCCTATTGTTTTTGGTAAAGATCGGTTACTATTTAGGGGATGAAATGGACCAAATACTTAATTTTTGTCGGTTTTTCTGGTCGCTCCGGAGGACGTAATTATGACCAAACATCGCGAATTTTTACATGGAGAAGGGGATTGGGCCAAAGAAAAATCATGCCTATTTTGATAAAGATCGGTCAATATTTAGCGGGCCAAGTGGACCCTGACTTTTGTGTGAAAAATTACAAAATATGTATTCTATAGCGTATATATTTACCCCTGAAGGACATAGACCCGAGAAGTTGATAGTATATCCAACAGGAGTGGTTGACCTTTAAATTGATACCAATTATATGGTCGTATGTACTCAGATGTGGGAGTTACACTTAAATATTTACAGGAGTTTACGTACTGAGATATTATTTAGTAATAGCTTTGAAATTTTCCATGAGATTCCAGTTGTGGTCAAGGACAACGCCTATAATTTTCGGTGACGATCAGATAATAATTTTGGGATGAAGTGGACCGAAAACTTTTTTTCTTTTTTTTATAGGCCACAATTATAAGCCGAACATCACAACACAAGGGCTGTACTGAATATTAGTAATATTCGGATTATATGCCAGTGTAAAGGAAGAGGTGCTGTTGATCTCTAATCGGGCAAGCGGGTGGTAGTTGTATCGGGTATCGTATGGTCGGCCCCGTCCGACTATACTGCTCCGCTCACTGGTTTAAAGAATATTTTCAACACATAGCACAGTTTTTAAAGAACATTTTTAGGACCAGAAAAAAATATGTTCTTCACGGTAAAACCATTTCCAAAAAAAACTCAACTATTATTTCGTTTACACCGACAACAGACAAACCCTCACTTAAAGTCTGTCTACAAAACTTAAGGTGTGTTCTTGAGCTTGACTCTGTTATGTTGAGATATGCTTCCTGCTTAACTCCCCCTCCAGGGACAACTGTTGATTTCATTGTAAAGAAATAGGCGTTGCTTTTTTGTTTGCCCGCTGAGCTTACAGAGTCACTTTATATGGTGGCTGGTTGTGCTGTTGTCTGCAATGGAAACGAAAAAAAAACAATAACAAGAAATCAGTGTTAACGCAATGCATAAAGAATTCATGTTGTTTTTATTGTTGATCGACAAAAACAACAACAGCAACAAAAGCCTAAAGAAACAAACTATTGTCACTGTCGTCATTTTTTGCTCCATCGATGCTTTTGTTGTTTTCATTTAATTGCAGTTCAGCGGAGTAGGAGTCATGTCACTGAAACACCTGGATTCACAAATGTGGAAAGAAATATTTATGCTCCGAATCAAAGCACCCAGCCAACCAACCAGCCAGCTTACGTTGCATTTAAAGCAATTCAAAACACTCGCCTTGGCATAAAACAAATGTGACTCCATTGTGGCAATTATCCATCCATTCAGTTGAACTTCATTGTGGTAGGGCTGGTGCTGCCTAGCTAGTTGGCTACATTAAATGCAGTTTTACCTTTAACTCCTGGCTAGGAAAGGAAAATGGAATGTTGAATAAAATTGAAAGTATTTTCCTTGGTAATTATTCGATACTGGTGTCCCATTGAAACTTAGTTCGAGACTTTAATGTGATACAACTTATAACAAAAACAAAAATTATAAGGATATATAGTCCTTGGAAAAAATATTCGTTTACAAATTAGCTTTTAAATTCTTGACAGTACTTAAAAAATCGTTAACAAATCCAAGCTAATACTTCTGATAACCCCGAAAAACATTCGATTTAATTATTATATGGAGTAGTAGGTATGGTTTGCAATTTAATTAAAATCGGCCTTTAAGGCATTTTTGGAAATAAATAAATCCACACCTATATTTCTGATAATCGTTGGAAAAATTTTATTCAAAGAATTCACGCTTATATTCCTGATAGTCCTTGGAAAATATTATTTGCAAAAACGATGATCCTATTCATGATAATCTTTAAATAATCTACCCTTATATTCCTAGTCCTTCGGAAACATATAATTTAAAAAACCAGTGAGCGGAGCAGTATAGTCGGACGGGGCCGACCATATGATACCCTACACAACTTCCATGAAAATATAACTTTCTGTGGTTCTATATTCTGAGATTGGGGAATATTTTGCGATATTTGCACACTTTTGACTGCCTAGAGGTCAGAAAATGTTACTAATAATCAGTACATCCCCTCTAATTACTTGTCCAGATTCCCTTCACCGTAAGTTGTGTTGTGATGTTCGGCTTTCGACTAGAAAAGTACAAATAACTAAGTTTTCGGCCCACTTCATTCGAAAAATTATTATCTGATCATCACCATAACTGGAACCTCATGGAACATTTCAAAGCGATCAGGCTATATATCCGCCCTAAATAAGTTACTAAATAATATATAACTCCCGCATCCCCGAATTTACGACAATATGATTGGTATCAATTTAAAGGTCAATCACTCCTCTTGGATATACTATCAACTTCTCGGGTCTATGTCCTTCAGTAGTAAATATATACGCCATAGAATACAAATTTAGTAATTTTTCACACAAAAATCAGGGTCCATTTGACCCGCTAAATATTGACGGATTTTTATAAAAGCAGGCATGCTTATTCTTTGGCCCGACGTCCTTCTCCATGTGAACATTCGCGAAGTTCGGGCCATAATTGCGGCCTCTGGGGTGACCAGAAAATTGGACAAAAATAAAGTTTTTGGTCCATTTCATCCCCTAAATATTAACCGATATTTACCAAAAACAATAGGGGTCTTCATTGGCCAGAACCCATCCTACATGCAAAATTTCTTGAAGATTGGTCCATAACTGTGGCCTGTATCGTGTTTACAAATTATAATGGACAGACGGACGGACGGACACACATGTCTAAATCGACTCAGCTAGTCACTTAAAGGTGGGTCTAGGACCAATATTTCGTGGCGTTACAAACTTTTGGGGCTGCACAAAGCTATAATACCCTGACAACATAGTTGTGTAGGGTATAAATATACTTTTATATTTCTGAGAGTCCTTGGCACATTATACTTTGAAAATCCACATTATATTCCTGATCATCCTTGAAAAATATTCTTTTAATTATTGTCGCGTCAATCCTAATAAATGTATATTCCATATTCGTTAAATAATCCAACCTTACGTTTTTGGTACTCCTAGGAAAAATAAAAATATTCTTTACAATATCCCGTCTTCCAATAGTCCTTGGAAATATATTTGGTAAGACCTTCAGCCTTATATTCCAGTTTCATTTCTATTTGATTTCATTTCCAACCATCCTACTAATAATAAAACTTTTACCATTTACCTATCACGTTATAAAAAATTATTATTTCCAATTGAAAAAAAAAGAATATCAATGCGAATTTATTCGCAAACATTTAATTCCGAATACTAACATTTCCAATCATAAAACAGTGGCCAATGACGATTTTTCGGATTTGTACCAACTGCTGTGATAGTGGGGTATGCAATGCCCTCTTGAATCTATGACGAAATCCTTCCTTACTTACGACTGGCCGTTACATTCTCTGGACTGAAAGTGTTTGAAATGCTGTCCATTGGTGTTGGCTTGGCATGGCTAAATACATGGTTAACAGGCAGAGAGACTGATAGACTAACTGACGGTCTAGCTGGTTCCTCATCGCTAAAACAGGATGTCATAAAATTCCAACATTCGTTGCAGAAAATAGCCCATAAACCGGCCGGCATTACTGATCCCGTCACAAATCCCATCTAACTAAAGTTGTTGTTCTTCTTCGCCAACGCCGTAATGCGACCACGCAGGCATACAAGAAATTATGCACGTGCGTAACGAAATTAATTAAAATGCATTTCAAGATGTTTTTATTGTTGTTGTATGTGGTAATCCTACCTAACATTCTTATGCCAAGTTATTACCTGTTTACAAGGCGTCGGACATGTTTTATTGGAAGGTGACAAGTGTGGTAACTTGTTGGTATGCCTATGAAGTGAGGAGGTTGATTCTGTTCTAATTCAAATAAAGTGAAAGAGATAAAATTCATGCTAAAAGTCCAAATTAAAAACTCTACATTAGTCAAATTAAAAAATATATTTCTGGCTTATATTTTTTTAAAAATTCTGAAATAACCTTAAGAAAATCGACGGTCACAGTATTGATAGTCTTTGGAAAAACTTTCTTCAAAAAATTTCAACCATATATATATATATATATATACAAAATCCCGGAAACATATCCTTTAAATGAATCTACGCTTGTATTAATTATAATCCTTGGGAAATATCTTTAAAAATCCACAATTATATTCCTGATAGTTCTTGGAAAATATTTTTTTTTCAGAATTCACAATTATATTCATGAAAACGTCCTATTAAAATCTACGCTTATATTCTTGATTATCCTGGGGAAATATTCTCTAAAATTCAGGCGTGTATTTCTATTTTTTTTTTTAAATACATACGTTAAAAATTCACGATTATATTTCCAATGGTCCCTCGAAAACTCTTCAGGTATAGTCCTTTGAAAAATATTCTTTAAAAAATTTAAGCTAAATTTCAGCCTTACAATTTAGAATCTATCCTCTTCATAATCTACCTGTTTCAATATATTAACTTCAATAAACCTTTACTTAATATTAATCCCCATTTCACTACATCCATAAACCGCTATCTCTGGAATTTCCTCATTTTCACAATTTGAATACATATTTGTCGGCATTTATTGACGGCTAAACTTCTTCATTTACATACCACACTAAAAGTGGAAAAGACCATCATTTAGATGCCAGAAACAAAAAGAAAAGAACTGCAACATCATTAAATGGTCATAAATGTGTTAATAGCTGTGCATTCCTATCTCCATTCACAGCCAAGCCATAACTGGACACATCTCTGTATATAAATCGTGTTAAATTCCTCATAAAGATGTGGCCAAACAATGTGTCAGCAGCCCTCCCAAGTCTATAGGTTTTCCATAGATCGTTCGGTATTCCAATGGTCGGTCTTTGATGTTTTCTCTTATGTTCCACTACATTGTAAAATTCTATTTTAGAGCCTTTCTTAGTCTTAATTACGATTGTTGTTTCAAGCATGAAGTCAGCAGCAACAGCATCTTTTGTACTTCGTTATCACTCACCTGTGTCCCTGGGTCTATGTGTGTGTACACAGATGCATTTGTCGAATGCATGAATGCTGGCTGGCATTACTACTACTTGATGGGTATTTCATCGATTCCGAACATTGTTCAGGTGTTAAAAATCACAACTTGGCGTTAATGCATATTTTTGTTGGCTAAGCCAATAGACAAGCCAGGCACGGAAATGAACTGAGAAAATTTGTAATCCTTGGGATTTTGCCACCGCCAAAATAAAAACACACGTGCAAGTGTTTTTAGATAATTTTGGAATTTCCCTTGGTTAGGATTGAATTTTTTCTTCATTCACCGAATTTTTCATTCACTGGCAGTATTTAATTTGATTTCAGCAAATATTTAAACAAAAACCTTTAATCTTGTTAAATAACAATTTTCCAAGGGCATTGTTTGGGAATTGAAAAAAAGGGGATTAATGGGATTTTTGGTAGTAAAACAGATTAAACAAAAAATAACAGGATACGGAATTAATAGAGTAGATTAGATATCAATATTAAATTTTAATTTAAAATTTAGATTTTTTTAAACAAAGCCGTCATACAATATTTTGTAAGGACTAATAAATAAACTCGGATATTTTTGAATGGTATTTTTCCAAGGACAATCACAACGAAGTACTTTAACCAATATAAGCGTATATTTTTTTAAAGAATAATTTTGCAAGGACTATATATAAACAGATATATAAACGTGGATTTTTAAAGATTTCCAAGGACGATCATAATTATAAGCTTGGATTAAACAAATTCAATCACTATCAGTATTATAACCCTGAATTTTTTAATGATTATTTTTCATTTTCTGAACTGTATGATTTGAACTTTTAAAACTAATTTCCAAGGATTCTTATAGTCCTTGGACATAAGCTTGGAACTTTTAAAAATAATTTCCCACTAACTGTCAGAACTAAATGCATGGACTTTTATAGATTAATTTTCTAAGGATTATCAGAACTATAAACTTGGTATTTTGGAAAAAAATAATTTCCAATGACTATCCGATATATAAAGTTGGAGCTTTTAAAAAAATAATTTCCAAGAACTATAAAAATTAAAAGTTTGGATCTTTTTGAGAAAACATTTTCCAATGACTATCAGAACTACAAGCGTGGAGTTTTAACGATTATTTCTAAGTTCATTTTTTTTTAAATCCGTGCCTCATATAGCCCTTGGAAAAATTAGGTAGTACTTGAAAGGGTATTTTATGTCGTGCTTGAAAGGGTATTTTTTTAAATCCCTCGATTTCGATAGTTCTTGAATAAGCATAGAGTAAAAATACACGCTGTAGATTGTCCTAGTTAAATAGTCCTATTATTTTAGAAATCTAGAATGAATTTCCCTTCTTTAGAACGATATTTCTAAGTTGTTATTATTTTACTTGATTTTGTTTTTTTTTAACTTACCTATCAACACTAGCTATTGAAACAAAATGGTTTCTAATTTTATTAGATATCAATATCATCTCCATTTTTTATTGAAAAAAATCCTTCAATATTAAAGTATAATCCAAAAGATAAAAAAATATTTTTACGAATAATTATTACAACTAGTCGATGTGGCTGCATTAATTGTAAAACGCTTACTTTGGAATGCATTACCAACGGATGTTGGTGCTGCCGTCAATGGTGGTGGTACTGTATTGGGCATTGGCGGTACCAAAATATTCAATACCAAGTCACTCATACGGGCACGAAATTGTAAATTTTGTAAATCGTTCATTTTCTTCATTTGCGGCAAGAAACTCACAAGAAAATTATAATCTGGATCGCCGTTATGATCTGTTGTGGCACGTTTCATATCTTCTCGTGTCGATTGCATCAGATTGTTTTCTTCTTGTTCAAGATTTTCAAGAAAATGAACATTATTCTCACTTCGTGATGAACAATGGCAATCGTCTTTTTTATTGGCGCTATCATTTGGAGTTGCCGAACTATTTTCTTTTGGTATTATTGCCACTTTAATTGTGGGTGGTACTGGTAATGTCAAACGTGGTGTTGCTAAAGATGTCATTGTTAAATTATTTACCGATTTTGTGGCATCACTAGACAATGATGACATTCGAGGCTTTAACGATGCCTTTGGTATATTATTTGTTATTTTTGTCGCTTCACTGTGTGGTACACTGATGACAGATATTGTAGCTGGTATACGTTGGAGATGTTGTTCGTTCAACATTGACCTATGATAATCATTATTTTGTTTTTGAATATCTTCAAATTCTACATCAGCCATATCTCCATCCATTACACAGTCGTCATCTTCGAATTCCTCTATTGAATATATTTCATCGTCTCCAATACGTGTGGGCTCCACTTTAATTTCGGAAATGGCATGAGATTCTTCAAAATCATCTGTTGAATTTGTATTCTGATCCTGTTCAATTTCAATGCGGCTACGACGTTTACGCTTCTTGTCTCTAATAAAGCTGAGATCTTTAAAATATACCCATTTACTTTCGTAGTCTATGTTGGGATCACTGATGCCCATCCGCAAATCACGAGCTTTACGTTGCTCGCAACGTTTAACCAAAGCACGATAAGAGTCGCGTAAATTCTTCCATTTACGTCGGCATTGTTCAACTGTTGTTCAACCACCGATTGCAGCGTAGCCATAAAATCATCGCACACATGCAGCAGACATACCCAACATACAACCAATTGTGTTGTCCACGACAAAAGAAACGACACGAAAGACGAACAGCACAAAAAAAGAGAAGAGAGAACAAACGTTGCTCATTTAAAGTACGTACATACATTCATACATATTTGTTGTTATTGTAATCGTCGTTGTTGATAAACAACGTCGCATCTATCTACTCAGGTAACGAAAAAAATAAGTTTATGTTTTGGCGGTTTTCTTTTACTCACCATCTTCAACGCCAAGAACTCCAGCTACTTCTTTCCATTGTCTACCAATTTCGTTATACGATTTGTTATCCTCGTGATTTAAATCCCATAAAGCTGGTCTTACGCGTACTTCGTGAATCAAACGTTTGGCATCTATTTCGTTCGACATTTTTCGTTCAACTAATGTGCCATCGTTACTGCTGTTCGTCGACTACCTACAGAGAACAATAAATGAGCGAGCACGGCGAATTCAATGTGAATGATAGAGCAATTGGTATCCACTCTCCATATAGGGAAATGAGTTCACTCAACATATTGGTTGTTGCTATTGTAAGAAATTATAAACGATGAAGTTTCTTCTCCAAACTGGTGGCAAAAAAAATAAAGTGGGGTAGCTACATAGATATGTATTTATTACGGTAACAAGAACATATGTATACACGGGAGAGGTAAAGGTTTTCGCAAAAAAGCTAAAACGGAATTGTATCCCCCTGGCGACGTGACGGCTGCTTAGCCATACTAAATAGAGTTCTATCGTTCCGGAACGAGGTCGTTCAAATGATTTATTTTGAACCAGTAACGATCTGTACTAAATCCGATCGTTTCGTTCATCTAGTTAGTTTTGCTCTAATCGTTCCTTTTAATCCCATCGTTAATCTATGACACTCATGCACATGTATGCTCTTTTTTTTTTGTCGTTTCTTCAGTGATTTTTTGATGATTATCTCTCAGTTACGCTCTCACACACTAACTCTAAATTAGAGGCAGGGCTGCCATTTTTGCGAATTTATCGGCATTTTGACGATTTTTCACTTTAAAAATGGCAAATGCGGAGTTTCCAATTTTAGCCTCATAATTGACGATTTTTCAACAATCGACACAAATTGCCTAACTTTTTAATTTAATACGGCATTACCTTACAAACATGTGAGCTTGACTGCTTTAAATCATTATAAGAAAAGGTATAATTATTTTTTACATATTTTTAAAGCATTTTTTTAGAAACTGGAAGTCAAATACAGCGAAATTGCACTTTCACGAAAACAGAAAACTGCAGATACGTTGCCACATTGTTTGTTTTAGGTGTACATATAATTTGACATATTCTGAGCCTTTGGAATTGCGATTTCTTAATTTTTCCCATTTGCAGTATCAGACAAACATAATCGTGTAGCAGCTATATTTTGGCACAAGGTAAATTTCAAATGACAATAACTCGGTGGTGAATGGCTATATTAAGATGTAGCCTTCACTATTGGATGGGTAGAATATTGTAGTTTCATTGAGTAACAATAATGTCGAAGTTTTTTTTTTAATTCACTATAAATACCAAATTGATGCATTGATACAGATTAAAACGAGACTCAACACTTGTGGAGTTCGGATATTTTTGTAGAATGGGAATTTTCATCATTTTTTCCCATTCGCAATACCAGGCAAGTTATAATTTGACCCAAGGTTAATTTTATATGGCCATAACTCGGCGGTGAATGGAGATATTTTCATGAAACTTTAACTATTGGTTGCGGAAATTTTGAAGTTTATATGTGTATCAATATCCATTTGCCATTTGGCTAATTAGTAAATACAATTTGCTACGACAAAAATATTACCAATTTAAAGCAATGGGTTTCGGACTACGTGTAATCGACGCACAAGTAATTACACAAAGAAATATAGTTTACCGAACATTTGATGCTAAATAGCTTCCAATGAGTCTTGATACAACATGAAATGTGAGTGACACAGAGATCGATACAATACAAATAATTGAGACGCCAACCGCAAAATTTCAGAGCATTCCCTAGTTGTTTCAGGGCATTCCGTATATGTGAAACAATACGTTTGTAACCCGTAATGTATGTATGTATAAATATATAGTGTAAGTTATACTTACCAACATCAATAATAGTTTCGAGCGAAATTGAGCAAACACAAACGGCAACGTTATGATCATTCTTTTATTCGAAAATATTTATTTTTTTGTCAGTCGAGATCCAGTTTCGAATTTTTAGTTATTTGTTATGGGCAATTATACATTTTGTGGCCCTTCATAATTTTTGTATTCGAATTTCATTTATTTTCAAAAAAAATAAATGCCAAATGTTGTATTTTGTTATACAAAATTGAAATAAAAAATTTGCAATTCAGTTTTTGTTAAAAGTAAAAAATATTATATGTTATCTGAAAAGAATTCAATGTCATTATCAAGTTCGATACTTGAATTCTTCTCCTGATTTGTTGTCGATTCTGGTTGTAAGGCAGTAGCATTGCTGTTGCCACACTCAACTTTAACAATAGGGGCAGGGGTTAATGGTGGTGGGGCAGGAGAGTTGTGTCGCGACATACTTGGCGCCAGGGTACTCAGTACCAAATCACACATTCGTCCACGAAATTGTAAATTTTGCAAATCTGTCATTTTTTTCATGTGTGGCAAAAAACTAACCAGGAAATTATAATCCGAATCGCCGATGTGACTCAAAGCCCGATTAATATCACGTTTGGTCGATTTAATAAGTTTTTGTTCCTCTTTTTCGAGATCTTCGAGGAAATGTACACGATCCTCACTACGCCCTTTTGGTGGACATTTGCAGTCTTTTTGTCCCCCTTCACCGGCCGATGTTGGATGGTGTTTTAATAGATTTGTTGGTTTGTCTAGAGAACTATTCGAGAGATTTTGTTCCAGGGAATTAGCGAGTGATAGTGTGACTGATAGGCGTCTGGCAGCCTGAGGTGTGGCAATACTTTGAAATTCTTCAAATAGCATATCGTTAACGGCATCGTCATCATCATCATCCGCATTGCCACCAACTCCCCTGGTATTATTATCGTCATATTCAGCATCAGCACGTTGTTCAACATTTTCGTTTAACCGAATTCGAGTTGTGGAATCCTTTTGAAAATGTATTCCATCGCCAGGGGTCTCTTCGTCATTGGAACTTGTGTTTTCGTGTTCCACGGCCGATGAATAATGCGGACGCTTACAATCGTTAATGAAACTCATCGGCTCAAAGTACACCCATTTACTGTTGTAGTTGGCATTCGGATCATACTCTCCCATTAGTTTGTCTCTCTCAACGCGACGTTCGGCGCGTCTTACTTCAGCACGATAAGCATCGCGCAAATTCTTCCATTTACGCTTGCATTGTTCGACTACACAACAACAGGAACGACGATGACAACAGAAGCAGCAACGAGAAATGAAGGCGAAATGAGGCAAAGGCAAATTGTATGTACAACAACAATTGGGCGAAAAACATAATATTGAACAGGCAGATAGGCATCCATGCAATGACCGAAAAAAGATGAGTAAATAAAAGCAAATGTTTACGTATTGGAGTGAGGAGTGGTGGTATGCAAATGTATAAAAATAACAACAACAAAAAAAAACTTTTTTTCAAGCTGAAAGGATTGTCGGTATATGGGTAACTCTATAGAAAATTAAATTGTCAGTAAGATATCGACATTAACCCTTAAAAAAATATTCTTCAAAAGAGGCGTGGTATTTTTAGTAAAATATAAGTATCACAAACTTTTTCTGATACTTACAAGAAACTACGATCTTCCACCCAGCCAATAGTAAAAGTTTCATCCAAATATCTCAATACTTTTACTATTGGATTTGGGGAATGCTATAGTTTTTATGTGTACTAGAAAACTAGAAAAAATATTCTAAAAATATTCCATGACTTAAAATTATATTTTAAAAATATTCCAAAACATCCAAGCCTATAATATCTCTCGAAAATTTATTTAGTAATCGGCGCTTAATAAATATTTAAGAAAATATTGAAAATAGAAAAAAAATATTTTTAAAAAATCTCCACCCTATCGATACATAAAAAACCCGTAGTATTATTAGTAAAATTAAAAAAATCCAAACATATATTTTTTCTTGTACATTATTACTCATAGAAACTACAATATTTCAACCAACTAACAGTGAAAGTTTCATGAAAATATCACCACTCATCGCCGAGTTATGGCCATTTGAAATTTACCTTGGGTCAAAATGTAGCTGCTACACGGTTATGTTTGCCTGGTACGGTAAAGACTACATTGTTTGTTTTAAGTGTACATATAATTTGACAAATTCTGAGCCGTTACATTAGAAACCCCCAACGTGCCAACACTTCTACATTTTTCTGTTTTTTTGTGGAATGGCAATTTCTTCACCGATTTTTTTAATATTTTTTCATGAGACCTTACAGTTGTCGATTTGTAAATAGCAAAAGTGTCATCCAAATATCTCCATTCATCCCCGAGTTATGGCCATTTGAGATTGACATTGAGTCAAAATATAGCTACTACACGATTCTGTTCGCCTAATACTGCAAATCGGAAAATAATGAAATTGCAATTCCGTTGCCACATTGTTTGCCGAAAAAATCAGAAGTGTGGCCACGTTGGAATTGCAATTTTACCATTTTCCTGATTTGCAGTACTAGGCAAACAGAATCGTGTAGCCGCTATATTTTGACCCAAGGTAATGTTCAAATGGTCATAACTCGGCGATGAATGGAGATATTTGGATGAAATTTTCACTACTGACTGTGTGAAATATTGTAGTTTCTATGTATCAAAATAAAGTGGACAATTTATAGGATTTTTTTTTCAAAATTCAATATGGCAAACAGAGCGTAACATTTTTTAATCGCCGATTTTTTTATATTTTTTCAAGGGACCTTAACGTTGCCGATTTTTTTACCAATTTTTTTGATAGCAGATTATACGTGGGAAGATTAGACGTGGGAATTTATTAAGATCAATAGCGTGGAAATTTTTGAAAGAATACTTTTCCGGACCATTGTATACATAGAATGTCAAAAATGATCCAATGAATCCTTTGCGATTCAAAAATTCGAGTACAATCGTCAAAAAATGCCTAAAATCGGTGTGGACCCCCATATATGGCGGTCATGTCAAAAATTCGAATATTATTCAAATCAAGAATATATACTTTTTGGGGATTTCCGACGAATATTTTGATAAAATGACAAATTTAATATAAAATGGGCAGTGAGCGGCTTAGCATTAGCAACTGCCAACTTCCAATGTATACATTTTATTTATTGCTATTTTTCAGTACTTTTTAATACATTTTCATTTATAGTTCATAATCAAATATATTATGGAATTACCCAAATACCATATACATATTATAATTTTATTGCAGAGGAAACATACGAATATTAACATCAACCACTTACCATCGCTGCCAACAACATTGGATACTTCCTTCCATAATTCCGGTATCGAATAACGCCATTTATTTGTAACATTTCTTGTATCCCATAGTGCGGGTCTGGTTCGAAGTTCGTCAATTAAACGCGGTACATCCATTGCGTTTGATATTCTTCCTTGAACTGAACTGGCATCTGCATGTTGCAGTCTCGTATATACAAAAACACATACAACGAATATGCCAACAACAACAATGTTGTGAGGCGGTGTGGTGGCACTACAAGAACGAAAACCCAGACGAAAATGTATATTATATTGGAAAATAAAATACGACGAAACGCGGCGAAATACTCTCGTACACTCTCTCGTCCTCATTAAATGTTTCAATAGACGATTGTCGGTTTGTGTATGTGTTGCTTTCGCTTTGTAGCGAAATACCAAAAAGTCATTGACCAGAGATGGGAAAATGTTTAATACATACCTACATGAATACGGTGTTCAATTTATTTTTGTCTGTTGGACGTGGCAGTTAATATGGCATTTGTTTAACGGGATATATTTAGACCTTAACATTATTTAGAGAATTTTTACGCCCACTATCATAAAGTCGAATGTAAATTAAAGTAAGAAGTCGTTAAGTTATGCGGGGCCGGCATTGTTATACCTCCACCAGAATGTGGGACTTCAAAGTACTCAAAATCAAATCGATTGTAAATCGTATACCGGTTATTATATCCTATGAAAACTAATTACCAAATTCGACTTTGACCTTCGACCTCCGAAATCCGTATGACTAAAATGACTTACGAACCCCGCAAATATATGTATTTTGACAGCAAACTAGAGGAACATCTGAACATCCTTAATTTTTTGTAAAATAAAATACAAATTTCTTGGTTGCAGTTCATGGTTTTATTACAAAATTCTTAAATATAAAAATAATAGAAAACTACATATAAATTATTTAATCAGGCGTTTGCTTACAAGAGAATTATACGATGACAAAACATATATGGTAGGAATTATTAAATCGATAAACAAAGTATGGTTGTATCCTCTTATGAGAAAGGCCTGGAACTGGTAGAAGTAGCTGCAAACACATTGTCTTTGTTATCTGCATCATCGGTGTTTGCATTTTCGAATGTATTCGACTGGCAATTACCATGAAGTTCGCTAGTCGCGCCTATTTGTGATCCTGGAAATGGTGTTAGAGTTGGCATTACAGGCATTAAAATATCCAATACCAAATCACTCATACGTGCACGAAATTGTATATTTTGTATATCGTTCATTTGTTTTAATTGTGGTAAAAAACTGACAAGAAAGTTGTAATCAGGATCCTTATTATTAGTTGCAGTCGTTGACATTTGTTGCTGCATCAGTTTTAGAACATTGTGAATATCTTTGAGCAGATTTTCATTTTGTGCCGAGCAATTACAATCCTTTTTGTTGGCATTACTGGTAGTAGCTGTCTGTGTGGAGGCTTCTGCTTTCAGTGTCGTAGTGGTTCCAACATTTTCACCAGCTGTACGTTTTGTAATATTATTAGGAACTGATTTTTGTGTCGCAGAAATACTCCGTCTAAATTCGTCTTCAGGTATAAATAAATTTTTAAATTGTTCCGTTGATATTTGGTCATTACCATCATCGTCATCATTGTCGTCAAATTCCTCATACTCCTCATAATGTCCCCCTTCCATTTCACGATAATCACCAGCCGAGAACATTTCATAATCGTCAGGTTCTTCAGTTGTTTGTGGTTCACCAATATCATTTGATTGCGATTCATTGAAACTGTGTTGCGAATTGATGTTCTGGTCTTGATGTATTGGCGGACGATTTCGACGTGTACGTGTATTGTCCTTGATAAAACTTAGTTCCTTATAATAAGTCCATTTAATTGCATATTGAATTTTTGGATTATAAACACCCAATGCCTTATCTCGTTTTATGCGATTTTCACAGCGTCTCAACAAGGCACGATAGGTATCGCGTAAGTTTCCCCATTTGCGTCGACATTGACGAACTAAACGTAGTGTAGCGCCACCAAACACACACGTGTTGAGAGAGAGCAAGCATAAACACACACACGGTTAGCCACATAATAAAAAAAAAGGGAAATGGAAAAAATGAGGCGAATTCATTTACGTATTGCTTGCTGTTCGTGTCAATTTTCTGTGTAAACGTTCATCTTCAACACCACTAGCGAATAAATATCGGTAATTTTTTCAACTTACCATCAACCCCTACAGCCTCTGCTACTTCCTTCCATTGTTTTTTAATTATTTTATACGAGTGTCTACGCTGTACATCCCATAACACCGGCCGAATACGTACTTCATCGATTAGGCGTATGACTTCTATGCCGTTCCACATTTCTTGTTCAACTACTGTCAAATCGTTATTGTTGTTCGTTGATATGTACCGACAAATGCAAAACAAATAAACACGGCGAATAACTGACTATGGTATGACAACACACACACATACCGTGAGAGAGAGAGAGAGTGAGAAAATACAATCCACAGTTATTTCTCATAGTTCTCTACCCTTAGTTATGCACATTACCAAATAGTAGGGGGTATACTAATTTGGTCATTCCGTTAGCAACAATCGTCGTGAGATGTACAGTAGGGAAGAAATAAAATGAATTGGTAAACTCAATTACGATTTCATGAGATATACGAACATATTTACAGTGGCTGGTTGAAAAAAATACTAAGAACGATTTTCTTTAACCTATTTAAATCTATAAGTATTTAATAACGTTCCATTCTGATCATATTTATGTTTATTTAAGCAATAGTATTTTTTCCACCAGCCACCAATGAAAGGGAAAAGTGCAAATATTCTGGGCTGTTATGCTTGATATGTTATGGTTTCTAATATTTTTCTCTGAGATTCTCACGATGTATATCCAAATAAACAAACTCATATTCCCTGAGAAGATTGAGTTATAATCGTTAAGTAGTAAATAAAACCTGTGGATACTTTTCACTGTGAGGTTACAATGGCTTTTGTTTATTTTTTATTTCATTAATTTTAAGTTAGGGCGTTCACGTATAAAAAAGAATAAAATTATATTTATTTATTACACGCACTTATGCCATTTTTATAATGGAAAAAACCTAGTATATACTTTTGACTGTGACTCATTGTACATCAGAACGATTAAGTATAGCAACAAAATACACAGAAATCGTAAACAGGTTGTCCAAACTTGAAAATGACTTGTACAAGATCAGATACTGGCGTATGGACTTATAGGAGTTATAAATCTACAGAGTAACTTTAGAGCCGAAAGTATTGGTTGCACAAAAACAAACAACAATAAATGAATATTAGACAACACAACAAGTATACAGGCGATACTTTAATTTTCGACTCTGGCGCTCTGAATTAATGTTTCCTATAAAACAATTCTTAATGTTTTGCAGCAAATCATTTCTGATGACCATAGGTAATCGTTGAAGTACCGATAAATAGATATATCAATTACATAATCAATGGAACCTCAATATGACTCCTATGTGACCAAAATACTATCAGTCGTATTTTTTTTCGGTTTCTACCGGCAAAGGTATCGCATACTATCGGAAAATGCGCGCATATACGATTGATTTAATAGGTTTGAGGTTTTGTAAATTACTCGTTTATGATTATGTAATAAAATGTTGACTGGGGTAGATCTATACCTACACATTTGTCGCACATATTCAAATAAACGATTACATTTCAATAAGTATTGAATAGTTTATTAAAAACAAAAATAATATCCGCATACAATGTTAAACATTATGAAAAATAATTGGAACTGGTAGAAGTAGCAGCATTTAATATGGTGTTGTTAGTATCATTAGTGTGATTATACAAATAATTTTGTTCGCCCATTGACATTCGAGTATTAGGTACATGCCCTGCTGTCGTCGGCACCAAAATATTCAACATCAAATCACTCATGCGCGCACGAAATTGTAGATTTTGAAAATCGTTCATTTTCTTCATTTGTGGCAGAAAACTAACCAAGAAATTATAATCAGAATCACCGATATGATTTGTAGCCCGTTTCATATCATCTTGTGTGGATTTCATTAGACTGTGTTCTTCTTGTTCGAGATTTTCCAAGAAATGGACATTTTGTTCACTTCTCGAAACACATTTACAATTTTTAGTGGTGGCATTACTGGCGCTGGTCGTCTGATGCGTTGTCGGATTTTTTGTTGTACCAACGTTAATATCTGTCATATTTGTATGTTCTCTGGGATCGGGAATAAGCGGTCTGGATGTGGGTATATCCCTAAATTCTTGTTCCGGCAACGATATACTTTGAAACTCTTCTGGTAAAATATCCAAATTATCAAAATCATCTTCATCATCATCCTCAATTTCTATTCCCTCATAATGTTCATCCGTTTCATTGTCATCATGATCATCGGTAAATTCTTCAGCCGAATATATTCCATCTTCTGCAATCTGTGTTGGTTCAATTTTAATTTCCGAAACGTCATTCAATTCTGATTCATTGAAATCATTTTGTAAACTGCCATTTTGTTCGGCATTTAATTCACGGCGACTTCGACGTTTACGTTTATTGTCTCGTATAAAATGTAGATCCTTGAAGTAGATCCACTTGCTATCATAATCAATTTGTGGATCATAAACACCCAAGTTTTTATCGGTTTGTTTGCGAATTTCTGAACGTCTCACTAAGGCGCGATAAGCATCTCGTAAATTTTTCCATTTGCGTCGACATTGCTCAACTGAACCGGGTGTAGCGTCATCATTGCAACAACAACAAAGTATCGACAGCACAGCACACAAACAGTTGTACCCAATAACATAGCGATTAAAAAAAAATAGAAAGAGAGCGAGAGATAAACAAAAATAAAGCGAATTCGCATGATGTTGTTGTTTTTGATGACTTCAGTTGTGTATACCAGATTAAGGTAGTTTTGTTTGTTTGTATGTGGTTTTTGTTATGAATCTGAACACTCAAACATAACGAATAACTCTGTTCGTGTTGTTTGTGTACTTACCGTCTTCGACGCCAAGAACTGCAGCCACATCTTTCCATTGTTTGCCAACCGTTTTATACGATTTGTTGTGAACATGTTTTAAGTCCCACAATGCTGGCCTGATACGTACTTCGTGGATCAACTGTTTGGCATCTATTTCGTTCGACATGTTCCGTTCAACTGAAGTCAATTCGTTATTGTTGTTCGCTGTATATGAACACACAGGCATTTAGACAACGAAGTTTGCTAGAAGAGACAAATGAAGAGAATACATTCCACACGTATTTAACAGCTCTCAGTAGATTTTAATTTTGATTTTACACTAAGTGAAAACAGGGTTGCCATTTCAATTAATAATTTTTTAAATAAAATTTTTGGGCACTGAATGTAATAAAGATAATGATCATTTTCGAAAGTTCGACATTTTGAAAAGTACTAATATGTACTAACGTTGTTACAATTTCGTACCATGTGAATGAATAGAGCTAAAATCTTGAAATTTAAAATGCGAATTAAGTTCGGAAGTAGGGTCGATATAAGGAGGTGGCTTTGTAAGTGGAAGTTATGTATACGGAACGGATGGAGCTGGAATCCTGAAATTTGCCGTCGGATTGTAGGATTGGAATATGTACGTAGTTTTTGAAATTGTTTACTTATGTGTACGAAAAGTACTAAATCGTACTATATTTGGTACAATTTGGATTTGTACACACCGATAGAGCTGGAATGCGGAAATTTGGAATTAGGATCATTGTTGGAGCGTAGGATAGGGCCATGTAGAAAGTTTTGGAAATTCGTTATTTTTGTACTAAATGGAACTAAATTTGAATTTGGGTGAATCGATGAAGTTGGAATCTTAAAATTTTATGCTAGCATCACTGTTCGGGTGTAGGACTGGAAGAAAGTTTTGAAAATTCGTACTAATATGTACTAAATTTGGTACAATTTAAATTTTGGGTGAACTAATAGATTTGGAATCCTCAAATTCTAAGTTATGGTCACTGTTTGGGTGTAAGATTGGGATATGTAGAAAGTTTTGGACATTTTTACTATTGTGTACAAAATGGTACCAAATGTTGTTTTAGCTGAACCGATAGAGCTGGAATGCTGAAATTTGGAAATAAGGTTACTGTTAGAGTGTAGGATTGTGGTATGGATTTAGTATTGGAAATTCATACTTATGGGTACTAAATTGTACTAAATTTCGTACAATTTGAATTTTGTGTGAAGTGATAGAGCTGGTATCCTGCAATTTGGAGTTATGATCATTGTTGGTATGTAGTACTGAGCTATGTAGAAAGTTCCGGAAATTCGTACTAATGTGTACTAAATGGTACCAAATTTATATTTGGGTGAACCGATAGAGCTGGATTCTTTAAATTTGATGTTAGAAACACTGTTGGGATGTAGGGTTTTGATTTGTAGAAAGTTTTGGAAATTCGTGCTAATCTGTACTAAATATGGTACAAATTACATTTTTGGTGAAACAATACAGCTGGAATCCTGAAATTTGGCCTTAGGGTTGCTGTTGGGATGTAGAATTAGCCTACGTAGAATATTTTGGACATTTATGCTATGTACAAAGTTTTTGGAAGTTTGTACTAAATGGTACCAAATTTGGATTTGGGTGAGCCGATAGAGCTGGAATCTTGAAATTTAATGGTAGGATCACTGTTGGAATGTAGGATTGGATGTTGTAAGAAGTTCGTACTAATGTGTATTAAATTTAGTACAATTTAAATTTTGGGTGAACCAATACAGCTGGAATCCTGAAATTTGGATTTAGGGTTACAGTTGGGGTTTTTTACTAATGTGTAGAAAATAGTAAAAATGTGGATTTGAGTGAACCAATAGAGCTAGAATCTTGAAATTTGAAGTTAGGATTACTGTTGGGTGTAGAATTGGGATATGTTGGAAGTTTTGGAAATGTGTACTAATTGCAATAAACTTGGTACAGTTTGGATTAAAAGCTAACCGATAGGGCTGGAATCCTGAATTAGCATTTGCTTAGTAACTTCCAAAAAAAAGGACTACATTTCGCAAATTTGTGGATCTCATATGAAACTACATAATCAAATATCCGATGTCATCCGACGTTTCCTAAACATATTTTCAATTGTTATTGACTACGAACTTAGCGATATTTTCGTTTATCGAACTTACCTATTAAATCGAAGCAATTAAAACAAAATGATGTCTAATTTCATTAGATTTCAGCGGTAATTCAAATATTTTTATTATAAAAAAAACTTAAAACTTATTTCAATAATTTTATAAATAAATTCCAAACGGTAAATATAAATCTTCACGACAAATTATTATAACTTGTCGATGTGGCAGCATTTATTGTGAATCGCTTAC